GGCTCAAGGTTGACTATTCAGCCTTCCATCCTTCCGAGGTGGGTGAAATGAGGACCCGGATTATTGGGGGCGATATGCTGACTCTGTAAACCGCTTAGAGAGGGCTGAAAGCCCTATGAAGCGGTATATAAGTCTAACTGCTATTGCTATTGCTATTGTAATGTCACAGGTGCCGCGACACCTGTGGAGGTTCCTTGCTGCAACACAATGTTATAAAGCCTCACCACCCAGCAAAACCTGTGTGACCATGTGAAAATGCAAAGCCCACCCCCAAAATGAAAATATTGTGACCAATGAATGAATGAGCAGTAACCCATGAACAGAAAGAACAGGAAATGAAAATATATTCACTTTGTTAGACCTCGAGCTTGGTCCAGGGCTGGCTTTTCAACTTCTTGTCCATGGAGAATTAACTCTGCTAATTTATGAAGCTGTTCAATGCAACGCGCTGTTACTTCGGCCAGGCTTTCAATGGACAACATGTAGAGTTCCTTGAAAGAAGGGAAATGTACTGATTAGCATAGATCATTCATGGCTAACCTTTTCTATCCCTGCCTCTTATTAGACGGCAAAGACAAAATCAGAGAATCGGAGAGTTGGAAATGACCTAAAAGGTCCTTGGACTCAATGGCCTGCACACAGCAGGAATCCTTACACCGTCCTTGATTGACAGTCATCAAAGAAAGACCTGGTCATCCCTTACCTCTACAGTTTCAGTTCTTCTTGTTTCTGTCCTTTCAGGTTCTCCCACCTGGGATTTTTCTTCGGTTACTTGCATTTCTACAATTTCATCATCCGCTTCTTTAGTTTGGCCCGGTGGGTTCTCTTCCAGGTCTCCAGATGTGGACAGACTTGCCGCTTCCAAGGCAACATAAGCCTTCTTTCTGGCCTGCAACATAACCGCCATCAAAAGTGGCAGAGAGTTATTATTGTAGTGGGGAAGGCACTGCTTCAGAATGGCACATCTGGATTCCAACATAAACTCCTGGCCGAAAATACTTCAGAGTCACATGTGAGATGGGTACTACATTAATTGATTCATTGGCTCATTGGTTCAACCATCCAATCACCCAACTAACCTCTCAACTACCCAACCACTCCATCACCAAACAGCCAAACAGCAACCCAACCACCAACCAATAACCAAAACTCCCAAACACCTAACCACCCTAACACTCAACCAACAACCCAACAATCCAAACCAACAACCCCAACACACAATCAACAATCTAACCACTGAACCACCAACCCAACTACCCACCCAAACACCCAACCAACAACCCAAACACCCAA